GTCACCCACCCACCATCATACAGACACTGAAGAGTGGGCTCTGGAGTCACACTGCTGCATGGGTTCAAATCCAAGCTTCACTGCTTGCACTCTGTTTCTGTTTTTCCCCCTGTAACATGGGAATAATAGTCTTAAAAACCAGTGTGAAGATTTTAATGCACGTAAAACATAGCCTGTTGTATGCACCCAATAAATGTTAGCTGCTACTCTTGTGGTTGTGGTTGTCACCGGGTTTGCTGCAGGGTCCTGCCCACCCCTCAGGGCAGGGAAGGGCTGGGGTTGGGGGGCGGAGTCAGGGCAGCAAGCCGAACTCTGGAACCTGCAGCCCCCTTCCCACACGTGCTTGTGGAAGTCAACCTAGCGCTCAGCACCAGGAGCCTTCCCACCTCCCGCCACGGCTGGGATTAGAGATCCTGAGGCCACATGGCCACTCTGCTCTGGATCTCAGTTTGGGACGGTCAGAGCGAGTATCTAGACCCTTTGTTCTTGTTCAGGCTGCTGTTCTCCCGGGAAGAGGGCTTGGGAGTGGGAGTGAGGCCTGACTTCTAGTCCCTGCACTTTTCCTGGTTGTACCTGCGGTCTTGGGCGGGTCACGCCCCCTTTTGCGGCTTCAGTTTTCCGCCGGTAAACACAGCTAACTGCTGATCCTAGAGGGGCCTCCCACCCCTGACTTCTTGGGCTCTGTGATGCCTCAGGAAGTTTCCCTCCCCTCTCTACCCAGCCCCCCTACCCCCACCCCAAGGTCTAGCCAGAGTGAGGGGGCAGAGTTGCCTGCTGTCGCCATGGGGACTAATCTTCAAGAAGGTCAGTGAGCCTCTGGTTCTGCCTTGGCTGGATGGGGATTAGCACCTGGGTGTGAGCCCCCCCCCCCCCCATGCCTTCATGTCCAAGTTCTCTGACTCTCCTATAGACCCCAGGCAGCCTCCGCAATCAGAAGCTGCAAGGCAGGGCCAGAACCAGCAGGTGGATAGTGGGGGCAGGGCAGCTGTGGCTGAGAGAGAGAAAGGGGGAGAGGTGGCGCCAGACTACGCCCGTGTCCACTCGTGGCCTGAGCCTTGCCCCTCTTTGCCTTCTGCCTCTTAATGGGGAGAGATTGGTCTTCCAAGATGGGAGAGTCACTCCCACCTGCAGCCCTGGCTGTCCCATTTACAGCCCACATAGAAGCCACCTCTTTCTCCCCTGTGGGAGAAATTCCCTCCTATTAATGTGGGGTGGGGAGGAGGCTGTTTCCACCCCACTTCTGCCTTCTTCTATACACACTGTTTCTCCCGTCTCAGGTGACCTGACCTCTGGCCCTCCACCTTTCAACCCATGTCTCTGAAGCGCACATCTTTGGTTATGTCACACTGTCTCCGTCCCTCTTCTCTGGTTTCTCTCAGGAGGTCTCTGCCTTCGCTTCAGGTCTCTCTCTAGCTCTTGCTTTCGCTGTGTGTGGGGCGGGGGGAGGGGAGGTGTTCTGCAGCCTCCCTGGGCCTTGACATTTCCCTGTGGTTCTCACAGGCCTCTGGGCTGCATCCCCCGTCTGTGCTTCCCATCCGTCTCCCCAGTCCCACTTCCAGTCAGCTGCTTCCCAGCCCCACCGTTTTCCGAGCTCGGCTCCTTTTCTGCCGTCCTCCACACCCCGCTCCCTCCCCCGCCCAGGGTGCTGACAGGGATGACAGGAAGCAGGCTCTGGCTGGGAGCTGGACAGGCGAGGGGGGAGGGGGCCCACTCGAACACCAGCTGCTGAGCACCCCCTCACCCAGCCCTGCACCTGCAGGCCTGCCTGGCGCCTGGAGGCTCCGCCCCTGGCCAGGCAGGGGAGGAGGGACCTGGACGGGAGGCCAGATCCCCGGCCAGGGCCAGGAAATGTGGGTCTTGGGGATTGTGTAGGGCGGGGGAAGAGGTCCAGGGAAACTAGGCTCTGGCAGGCAAGGAGCAGTACCGCTCCCTCCGTCACAAGGGCAGACTCCAGGCAGCTGGTGGCCTCATTTTCCCAACAGCCCCCCAAAGGACTCCTGCCTGTGTATGTGTCTTCGGGGGTCATTGCAGGGGGAGACCTTTGGTGTGTGGCCCCAGGATCTCTAACCCCAGCCGTGGGGTGGGGGAGGGGAGATCCAGACCCCTTCTGTGATTGAGGGACTGGAGAGGAAGCCTTCCAAGGCACAGGGAGAGTGTGCCAGGCGGGCCGGGCCCCTGACTAGCACATCATTCGGTGCCAGGCAAGGATTACAGGGCTGGGCCCAGGACAGAAGCCTGGCCAGGGAGGCCAGGGCTGGGGACTGCACGCACGCACACACAGCCCCCGGGACCCAGGCTCCCTGCCCACGGCTCCTCCCCACGGACTCCGCCTGCGGTGCTCCCTCTCCCCAGACATGCCCGGGTCCATCAGAGCCACCTCGTCCCACCCCCTTCCTTTCGCTGCCACAGGGACTCAGCAGATCCCATGGGGCCTGAGGGTGGTCAGGTCAGGGGTGGCACTGAGTTGGGTGGAGGATGGTGGAGGGGACCAGCTAGCATCTCCAGCAACATCCCGACTGGAGCGGGCAGTGACTCCTGACCCTTATTCTCATCTCCCTGGGGGCTGCCTGCGCCGGGGCGTGTGTGGGGGTACAGTCCCTGCCCACGATGCTTTTTCACTCGAAGGGGGGAACTGGTGCTCCTCATTGCTATCCAAGGAGCCTTCATTCCACCCCCGACCTACAGCCAGCCCCTCCAACGAGGCGTCACCATCAGTTCTGGGAGGGAGAACGGGCACACCTGGAGTTATGGGGCAGGCTCAGCTGGGGCTCAGACGGCCCCGGGCCCCACGTGGAACCCTTGGGCCTAGGCTGTCTAGGCAGGAGGTCGGGGTCTGAGCCATCTCCATCCCCTCCTCCATGTCAGACTTGAGCGCTTCCAGCCCCCGGAAAGGGCGGAAGGTCCGTCCCAGGTCTGGGCTGTGGCTAATGACCTGTGGCCTCCCAGGTAGGCTGAGGGCTGCATAGATCCCACCCCACCACTCTGAGACGAGAGGCCTTGGGATTTTGAGGTTTGGGAAAGGCGGCAAGCTTGCTGCATCTGGAGACTCCCTCCCGAGAGCCAAGGCGAGGCGAGGCCAGGGGGTCCTGCGTTGGTCCTTCCCAGTCCGTCTGTCCCCGCCGCGGGAAGACCAAGAGGGGCCAGGGAGATGGCAGGGAAGGGCCCTCAGGATGACAGCTCCGTAGTGGCGGGAGGAGGGACTGCGTCTCTGCCCGTCATGCTGGTCGCCCACCCCGCCCAGGTTTTCCACACCTCACGGCTACTGCTCCCACCCCTTTGAGGGCCTCCAGCCACCGGGCTCAAATACACTTCTAGAAGCCCAGAAGCCAGGATACCAAGGCTGGAGAGGCCCTCGCTGGAGGCCAGACCAACCTCCTCATTGTGCCAGTGGGCAGAGTCGGACCAGAAACCGGGTTTCCGCCTCGGCAAGGCTCCCGTCCCGGGCCATAGCCCCCTGTGCCACCCGGCGGAGCCTGCTCCGCCGCCCGCATTATCCCCACGGAGTCCGGCAGCCCAGGAGCGGCGGGCCAGGGCAGGGCACGGCGAAGGAGCGGGCGGGGCCGGATGGGAGCCGGATCTCCCCTGGGAGCGGCGCACCACCTCTCCGACCCTTATGGCGGCGGCGGCGGCAGGTGCTTGCGTGGCGATCGGGCTGGGCCCCCGGGCGGGCGCTGAGAAGCCGCCCCTGCCTCACGCGAGCCGAACGAACAAAACGCTCAGGTCCGGTTTGTGCGAGGGGCTCGTCGCGGGGCGGGAGCGGAGGGCCCGGGGCCCGGCTGTGGCCCTTGGCGATCTCTTGGTCCCGGTCCTGTGCGAGCTCCGTGCCGCACCGCGCTCCGCCGGCCGCCGCCTCGCCTGCGCGCGTCTGCGGCTGACACGTCGGCGGCCGGCCGGCCGGGGCGGCCACCACAGGTGCGCACCTGGCCTGCCCCTCCCTTCCGGGCCACCCTCCGCCCGATCCGGCCCTGCTTGGCTCGGTCCCCAGCCGCCTCGGAGCCTGTGCCAAAGCCCGGGCTCAGCGCGCTCTTATACCGGCCCGTTCAGTCCCCGCCCCTGGGCACACAGACACACAGGCACACTCACACCTGTCCGGGCGCCCGTTTGCTCGGGGCAAATATTGACTCAGAGGAGGCGGAGCGCCCCCAACCCCCTCCCCGCCCCTACCGGGGGCTCTGGGGCCAGAACTCTTCCGAGGCCTTGGCGGCAGGGGTGTGTTGGGGGTGGGTGAGGGGGGGGACCTGGGCGCCTCTGGAACAACACCAGATGTCACTTTTCCACCCACCTGCCTCTGGCGGGGGTGGGTGGGAGGGGGGATGGGAGGAGCAGAAGAGCGGAGGACTCAGGCTGCCTGGCGGAGGTTAGGGGGAGCCCGAGGTGGGTGTCCTCGGGAAGGCGGGACACCCCCCCCCCGCCCCCGCCCCGAGTCTGGAGATTCAGAATCAAGATGGGAGTCCTTTGCAGAGATGCTGGCCTGCTGTCCTTCGGTGACCTGACCCTTGTCCCGGCGTCTAGGTCTGGACCCTCCGCGACGTGCCTCGCTTTCCCTTTCTTTCCAGTCTCTTAGCGGAGCCTCAGGAACCCTGCAGCCACTGAAAAAAGGCTGAGGGTGGGGCGGCCAAGCCTCGGAGCAGGGGTGGCAGAAGGGGGACATGGAAAGGTGGTCACTTATCCCGCCACCACCTGCTGCACTGACCAGACCTGGCGTTCCATCCCTGTCCACTAGGCTACACTCGGGCCAAAGCCAGCCAGGGTCCGCCCGAAGCGCCCTCCCCTGGCCTGACCAGGTCAAGCGCCCAGTGGCCGGCCGCGAGAGCCGTCGCCTAGCCGCGGTGCGGAGTGGAGCAGCACAATCGCCCAGCCCCTGAATCTCCAATGAGTCGCCCGCGGTCCTCGCCGGCCGCTTCCACCATCTGCCCCCCTCAGAGGACACGTCGCAAGTTGCTCCCGCGTCGGGGGAAATAAAGTCAAGGCAGACAGATATATTAAAAAGGTTAGATGCTTTACTGGTGGGACGGTGGAGAGGAGACCCGGCAGGACCTGGGGAAGCAAGTCAGAGGGGCTGGGCCCTGGCGTCCTCATAGAGCCGGTAGGGGGCGGTGCCACCAGCCACAGCGCCACTGCTTGCTGTGGCTGTGACGGGAGGTGTGGGCAGCAGGTCTGGGGTCGCAATCCTGGAAGATATAAAGCGCCAGGTAGGGGCGGGGCGAGGCTTCGGGACAAGACTGCCCGCCCCTGCCACCGCTCAGGTCCCTCGGGCGCCGTCCACGCGGCCGCTGGCGCGGGTGCCCTCACCTGGAACTGCTGAAGGGAGGCAGGGTGATGACGCGCGGCCGCGACGTGAGCACCACCTCCCCTCGGCTCGCCTCCACCAGGATGTTCTGGATCATGTTCTCCAGCAGCGCCTCCTGCAGGCTGGCGAAAGCCAGGAGCCTGCCGGGGACCAGGGCGCGGGCGTCAGCCCCGACACCTGGGCACCGCCCTCCTCTCCGCGGGCCTCCTCCGTGCTGAACCATGTGCCGTGTGCTCTACATGGATTCTCATTTAACTCCCCACCCGCCCAACACTAGGAGGCATCCTCGCTCCCATTTTATAGACGCTCAGGACCCCCGAGTTGCCAGACGTCACACAGCTGGTACAGTGGTGGAATTCGAACCCAGGCAATTGTGATCCCCAGCTCAGGGGAAAGGCACCCAGCAATGGCAGCGCGCAGGAGACGGGGTCGGGCCTAGGGAATCCCCGCCGGGACAGAAGGCCACCACCACAGAGCAGCCCCAGGGAAAGGTGGTACGAGACCACGTGGTATTTCTCTCCTGGTTCTAGAAACCCACTTCAGAGAACCTGAAGACCCTAACTACCCTCCCTGAAGTGGGGTGGTGTTGCATGTGAGCAGCCCGGTCTTGGGGAAAAAAAATGAAGCTCAGATCACCCATTCCGTGAATACTCCCACGCAGGCCTTACACCCCTCACTGCTGTCAGTGGGCACGGAGTGGGGGGAGGCGCACACAGTGGAGGCTGCCCCAGGATGCCACTGCCTCGCGGGCTCCTCCCGCACACCGCCCCCCTCCAAGCCCTCGCCGGGGTCCGGCCGCTCACCGGCTAATGGCCTCCTTCTCATCCTTCTCCTGCTCCTCCTTCATGATGGCCTTCAGCTGCTGCTGCCACCGCCAGTTCAGGGGCTCCTGGGGCAGAGGCTGCGGCGTGGACTCCATGTGTGTCCAGACCAGCTTCTCCTTCCTCTCTTCCATCTCCTCCTCCTCCTCCTCCTTCTCCTGCAGCTCCTCCTTGCCTGCCTCCTCCTCCTCATTCACCTCCTCCTCTTCCTCCTCCTCCTCGACGGTCTCCTCCTCCTCTTTCACCTCCTCTTCCTCCTCCTCTTCCTCTTCCACCTCCTCCTCTTCCTCTTCGTCCCTCTCTCTCTCTTCCTCCCCTTCTTGCCTCCGCAGCCTCCGCCTGTCCTCCTGCTGCTCCCTGTCTCCCCTGCCCTCCCAGCTGTCGAAGGACAGAAACAGGTCTGGGGCTATGTGCAGGCTTCTGTTCAGGGCCATGGGCCTGGCTGACTGCTCATTCCAGAACTGGCAAAAGTAAGGGATCTGCTCCACCAGGCTTTGGCCCACGGCCTCGTGGAAGGTCTTGTCTTCCAGCAGGCCCCTGGGGGGGGCAGGGAGGAAAAGAAGGTTCTTGCTGAGAGGACTTGCAGCGCCCCCCTGCCCCCGTGAGGCTCTGGTTTCAGGGTTCATCAAGTGGTGGTTCTTGCCTCCTGTGCCCACAAGCAGGGGCTACAAGGTGGGGGAGGGAGCCCTCGGTCCATGGCTTCTCCCATCCTTCTCTAGAGGAAGGTATCCCTGGACCCCATGGAGTCTTAGAGGTAAGCATTTTATGGTGGAGACAGAGCTGGGGGGTCAGAGTCACATAGATGAGGAACAGGAGCCCCAGGGGGAATGTGGACTGGATCTAAACCTCAACTGCTGGCTGTGGAGAGGGCAGGACTCGGGACCCAGCCTGGACACACCCTCCAGGAGCTCCATTAGAGCCACGCCATCCTGGGGGGGTGGGGCCGCCCATGGCAGGGTCTTGTGAGGAAATACTAGTTTTCAGGAAAGGAAGGGCTAGGACCTCAGGGGCTGTGGGTGGACCCAGAGTGTACTGCATGGGCTGGAAAGACCGGGGGTGGGGGTTCAGGGTGGGGACCATCACCTGATGATGGCCGTGAGACAGTCAACCAGAAGCTGCTTCTTCTGCTGCGAGACGGGGCCCCAGTTGTCAGGGGGTTCTTTCTCAGAGGCGTCTGGCTCTTCCCTGACGTTCTTCCTCTTTGGCCGCTCCCTGGGGCAGGCCGTGACACTGAGTGACCTGGGCAAGCCACTGTGCAGGGGCTGGGGGTGTGCGCAATGGTAGTGGCCTCACAGTCATAGATGAGTCTGGGGCAGACCCAGCCTTAACCCAACGTGGTGCTACTCACTGCATTTGGGGAACTAAGTCCGACCCTCAGAGTCGACACAGCATGTGGAGAGGCTCCAAGTTGGAAAGGAAGGTAGGAGGGATGGGGAGGCCAAGGGGGTTCCCCAGGGGGCTCTGGCTCTTTGCTCTTCCTTATAAGGACCTAAGCAGTAATGGGAGCATCTTGAGCCCAGCTATGCCCTGTTAGCTCCCTCCTGCCCAGCTACTACACCTGCTCCAAGCCCTCAGCAAAGGCTGGGTCTGGGCAACCCCTATTCTGGAGGCGGAGAGGGGACAGAGAGCAGAGGAAGGAGACCCCCCCACCCTCCCTGAGAGTTCACCAGTGCAAGAAGTGTCGGGGAAAGTCGGAGAAGAAGTTGGCCAGGAAGTAGTCAATGGCGTGGGCGCGTGCGGTGAGGCCCAAGTAGAGCATGCCCGGCGTGGGCAGCTGGGGGCATGGCCACGATGTCTCCTCCTTTGGGATCTTAAGATTCCAGCTGGTGGGCTGGTTGAGAGCCTGCTGTTTCTTGATAGGGGGCAGCGTCTTTGGGAAGGGAGAGGCCTGATGGCAGGGGTCTGGGGACTGCACTCCCATCATTGAAGGGTCTCTAGCCTCCCAACCAGGGCTTTTGGGCAATGCAGGGGTATGCCTCCATTCACTGGCCCTTTCGTCCCTCCCTTTTGGGAGGCCAGACCGGGGGTTGGGGGTATCTCGGAGAGCGAGCAAGGACCCTCACAAGTTATCCGAGGAGGTGGGTCTGGGGTTTACGGCCTTACCTTGTACCTCCTCATAGGTTCGCAGGCTGTACAACATGCTCTGCTCTGTGGAAGCGAAGAGAACCCTGCTCAGGATACAAGAGGCCTAGAGGGACTCCTCTCTTCCTACACTTCCTGCTGACCCACCAAGGCCTGAAGCCAATGCCAGGACCTGCTGCCCTCTTGGTTTTGACCAAGTCCTAGCCACACCCTCTTCTAGAACCTTCCCTAGGGAAGTGCTACCTACAGACAAGAAAGACCTGGTTATCCAATGGAAGGAAAGAGGAGACGCCACCACATATGTGTAGGCTGCCCCCAAAGAGCTGTCCTTGTGCCTTATAGCATTGTGGTTTCTTTTCTATTTTTATTTTTTATTATTTTTAGAGACAGAGAGGAAGGGAGGGAGAAAAAGAGAGAGAGAAACATCAGTGTGTGAGAGATATATCGACCGATTGCCTCTCACACACCCCCACCTGGGGACCTGGCCTGTCACCCGGGCATGGGAACCCACAAGCCTTCGGTTCGCAGGCTGGCACTCAACCCACAGAGCCGCACCAGCCAGGGCATGGAGCTTTGTGGTTCCGTACGATACAGAAGCAGCTTCCCTTATAAAGACAGTTCAGAAATCCCTTCTTCCCTGGCCTCAAGCTATGATCTGCACCCACAGGTGGGCCAGAGCTTCAAAGGGGAGCTCAGTGTGGTGCACACAGAGGAGGTCGAGAAGCAGGGATGCAAGCATGGGGAGGCTGTGAGATCGGGAGAGGGGCCAAGACATGCTTTGTCTCACGTTTAGTATCAGTCTCCCCGGACCAACCCAACGCTCACAGCACATTCAGTGAGCGCTTCCTGGGAGCCGGGCACTGTCGCGGCACTCGACTCGTATTAACCCATTTACCCCTCCCCACATGGCCACAAGGCAGGTCGTATTTTACTCCCACTTAAAAATATTTTTAAAACTTTTATGTTTAACCTTCCTAATTTGAGAAACTTTAGCTGTGTATGAAATTGTAGAGAATGCTACAGAGACTCCCCCGTTATCCGCCACCCAGCTTCAGCAATCAGCGACTTGCAGCTGATCTGGTCTCATCTACGCTCTACCTCTGAACTGTCTTGAGGCCAATCCCAGATGTCCTATCACCCCTATGTGACAATGGAGGGTCCTGGGAGGTAACATACTTGACTGAGATCCCAGAGCTAGAAGCTGTCGAAGCCAGGGATCAGAACCAGGCAAACTGTTCCCAGAGCCTGCCCCCGAGACCACCATGCCACACTGTCGTCCTCCATCAGAAGGTGAGCTCTGTCTGGTCCCCCCGGGTCCCCACTACCCAGCACCTCAAAGGCACGTGGTAAACACTAGCTACAGGACGCAGGGAATGGCCAGCCAGCCTTCTGTATCCAAGGGGAGTCTCTTGGGGAGATGCTGTGCTCAGTCTAATGAGAGAAATCTGATCGCTTAGGGCAGGCTGGCCAGTTTTGCATGTAGACCCCCTCAGGTCACCACCTCTGTCCCCTCGGTTTCAGCCAATCAGAAAGATCTGTGTTGTTCAAGGCCCACTCCACCCTCCTCACCTTCACTTTCCTGTCTGTGATAGTGAACTCCACTTCCTGCCGCACCTTCTCTTCCTTCCACTCCTGCAGCTCCTTGTAGTACTTCCTCAGGAGTTCCTGGTGGTACACCTGTGGCCCAGGACAAGGAGGGAGAAGACCAAGGTCCGGTGGGCTTAGAGCCAGGCCTTGCGCTGGGCCTGTGCTGTGGGCCCCCCACCCTTCCAGAAGCTGGCTCTGTCTGGGGGTCTGGGGTTAGGGTTAGGGTTAGGGTTAGGGTTAGGGTTAGGGTTAGTATGCATAGCCCACCCCACCCTCCAGGGCTGGGAGCTGTACCCTGCTCCCATCTTCTCTCTGGGGCTGGCCCTACCTTGCATACAAGGTCCATGCTGTAGAAACTGGCATGCACGGAGGCCTTCAGAGTCACCACAAATGGGACCCCCTCTCCTGGGGCGGCCTTCCCTTTCATGGGGCTCACAGACACCTGTCGGTTCGGGGAAGGAGTCTCTGGAGCGTCATGGGGGTGGGATGGGACAGGATGAAATGGAATGGGGTGGAGTCGCATGACACGGGATGGGGTGCAATGGGACAGGATGGGACAAGACAGGGTGGGTCTGGAGCCCTGCCGGAGGTTCAGACTCTGTGGACACAAGGGGCCCGCACCTCCCCGAAGTCTAGAGGCTTCGGCTGCCAGACGAAGACGATCGTCTTCTTCTCGGACGTGTTGTTGAGGAACAGCAGGCGGCTGCACTTGCTCTGCACAGGAATGTTCCCCAGGGAGATGTGAGACTCGGACAGGGAGACGTTCTGTCGGTGGGGACAACACAGCAGCGACTTCGGGAGGTGAAGACATAACAACCACAGCAACCACCGCTGGTTACTGAGTGTGTACAACAGGCCAGGTACTGTGGTACCGTGGCAGGCAGCGTGCATGCATCCGAACCTCCTCATGGCCCTGTGACACAGGTACTTCTACTGTCCCCACTACACAGACGTGCTGCTAAGGCTCAGGGAGCACACACGTTTTCACCAAAGGCCTCTCACAGGTGCAGCTGATATAAACCCAGGCAGTCTCACTCTGAACCCTATGATTTTGACCATTAAAAACAGACTTGGAACCAAGGTGATTCCCTCTCCGGGGGGGCCTAATAGTGCCCCTCTTCAGGAAAGCAGCAACTTGGAATAAAGTCTGGCATGCCTCAGCTTTTCAGGGCAGAAGGTCATGTGCAATTTCCTTTCCCTTCCTTTGGCTGCCTACATGTAAAAAAAAAAAAAAGGACTTGGGCCCTGGCTGGTATGGCTCAGTGGATTGAGTGTGAGCCTGTTAACCAAAGGGTCATCAGTTCGATTCCCAGTCGGGGCATATGTCTGGGTTGCAGGCCAGTCCCCAGTGGAGGGGCGTGCAAGAGGCAACCACACATTGATGTTTCTCTTCCTCTCTTTCTCCCTCCCTTCTCCTCTCTCTAAAAATAAATAAATAAAATCTCTTTAAAAAATGGACTTGGAAAGGCTGAGAAATCAGAACTTGCTGAGAGATGGGAAAACTAAAGCCAGCGCCATGTGAGTCCCCGGGGGGCGGGGGTTACTAATGAAGGGGCGACCAGCTGCTGCTATGGGCCCTGGGGATGGAACAGGAGCTGTGCTGTGGGGGTGTCTGGAAAGGCTGGGGCCACAGGGAAGGGTCGCGTTCTCTCTGTCCAGACTGAGTGCCTCCAGGGCTGGGACTCTGTCCCTTCTCGGAGTTCCCAGGCCTCTGCTGGGCTCAGCCTGCTGTAAGAGTCCAAAATGGGAGGGAGTGGAAGGGTGGACGGGCAGACTGCAGCGTGGGCAGTGACTGGAGGGGCGCATTGAAGGATGGATGGAAAACTGGGTGGGCGGATGGACGCACAGATAAGTAAACAGGCCTGTGGGTCCGTGGGCAGATGGATAGATGGGCGGGTGGATAAGTGGGTCAGATTTCCCAAAAGTGAGGAGTATGTGAACTCAAGGTAGTGTTAGTGACCCTAGATGTCTTTCAGCATAAGTCCACCTGGTCCAGGGGCAGGCTGTTCTGCTTGAAGACAACACCTTAGAGCCCTCGAATGGAAGAGCTTCTTTCTCCCCCTTCTCATAGCACCATCTGCATGCCCAGGGAAGAGGGTGCAGTGGCTTGAACACCTGCGGTCACTAGGTGGCAGGGTAAGCCGCTCGTGGAGCTGGTGCCGCCTCCTGAATCTGAAGGAGGGCTGGTTCCAGTCTTCCCTCTGCCACCCTCTGTCCTCAACACCATCTCTTCTCCCTCCCAGCCTCCCCACCCCTCCCGCTGGCTGCTCTGGGCCCTCAGGCCCCACCCGGGCCTCGGGCCTTCCCAGCTCCCTTCCCCCCACCTGTCCAGGAACCATCATCCGTGAGTGTATGGAGCTGTTGTCCCATGAGGAGATTTTGTAGAAAGGGACCGTGTCCCCCATGGCATGCGGGTCATAGCCCACTCCCTGGAACTGGACGACGGCCAAGTTCCATCCCAGGATGTGTATGGGCACGTCCACCTGAGAAGTAAGGGGGCCGGGGAAGGGACTGGTCAGGGCGAGGCCTGCTGAGGCGGCCAGCTCCGACCGCTGCCCCGTGAGCCCGGGCTGCTGCTGCTGCTCACCGTGTAGCTCCTGGCCTCGATGGGGGAGAAGATCCACAGGACCCGGGCCGTTGTGCCTGGCTGGATCTCCCCTCGGGGGTTCAGGCAGCAGAAGATGGGGTGATCAAAATTTTTTTCCTGCACCTGTGACAGGATGTCGGTCTGGATCTCGTAGGTCACGGGCACCGAGCCGCCATTGTACAGCTCATAGATCTGCAGGGGCAGGGAGAGGGCGACCTCCAGACCAGCTCGTGGCTGCGGTGCAGAGAGCCCGGGGCTCCGGGTCGCACCGACAGCCCCAGAGCTCCCCCAGTTCCTGACATCAGTATGCAGCTCTGCCTTCAGCCGGTGGTGTTTTAAGATAACCTTAATCCTTATTTCACAAGCTCTCACCTTACCTTGGTCAGAGTGTAAGGGGACACTAACACCTGTGTCCTTAGTGCTGAGATGTAGGGAAATGTCCAAGCAAGCGCCATCGTGATCGTCACCGTTTTCCGGGCTCTGATCCTAATGTCCTGTGAGGCTGCCCCCCCACCGCGGCTGCTGTTAGAGGCAGTGCTGCCTCAAGGCAGACAGGGGGGTGAGAGGAAGGTATGGGGTCCCCCAAGGTTAACCCCCAAGTCTGGGAATCACAGGATGTCCTGGAAGGAACCAGAGATCTTCTGGCCCAATCCTTCATGTCAGGGACGAGGACACAGAAGCCAGAGAGAATAAAGAGCTATGTGGATTGAGACCAGGCTCCCCCTCATTTCAGCGTCGGCTCCTGAAGATGCTGACTTGATTTCTCTGGCCTGGGCCGCCCTTTGAACCTCACCCCTGGTACCAGCTTCGATGTGACCACAGTCCCTCCTGGCTGTCTCCACGGGCATCTCACATGTGGCCCAAAGCAAACGCTTCGCTCTAAAACCTCTTCCTGCCCACGTGTGCCTCCTTCCAGCGAACGGCCCTACCTATTCCCAGTAGCTGGGGCCCGGGGTCCACTGCGTCCTCCGTCCCTCCATTTCTCTCACTTCCCAGACCCATCCCCAGGAGGACCCAGGGAGTCAGCTCCAAAACGTAAATCAAATCTGTTCCCTTCTCTCTCCTTCCAACCGCCCGCCTTGCAGGCCCAGGTCCTCGTCTGTCACCCTCTCGTGAACAAAACAGAAAGCTTGCCCACAGCCGTGGAGTTTGGTTGGAGGCACAGCTGGGTCTGCCGGCCCCAGACCGGAGGGCATTCCCCATTGTCTGCATTCACGGTCCGGTCACTCCGGAAGGCCCTCCTGGGGCGCATGTTTTCCTTTTTGTGTCTGGGCCTCTGTAGGCTTGGGCACGCCTGGGAAGCCAGTGGGGGAGGGGGTGGCGTAGAGAAGTGACCAGAGCCTGGGGCCGGGGACCCCCTCCCAGGGCCGGGAGGCCCGTTCCTCTGCCTCGAGGCTGAAAGGCTGGGGCCCCTGCCCAGAAACTCAGGGGCTTCCAGCCAGTTACAATCTCAGAGTTGTGAAAGCATCACGTTCCCCTCTTGGAAAGTTCCAGTGCACATTTGCCCAGTAAAGGAGCCCCATTCCCTCCAACTCATAAGGGAAATCCTAGAGTCTCACAAGACCCCACATTCTCGCTTTTCACATTCCAGAAAGACGTCTTTCTTGGGGCAGCAACTCACACACTGCAGCTGAGACCTACCAGTGAGCAGGCCATGGAAGTGTTTAGTGGGTCATGTCCGCATTAAAAAAAAAATGGAACAGAATATAATTTTTAAAAAATCAGAGTACTTTACATGTAGTAGTGTACGTATTGATTTGTGATTGGTCATGTGTATGTAAGTACTGGGTTTTTATCAAAATATATCACTGTGGTTCACAGTCAAAGAAGTTTGAAGAACCCTGTGCTAGAGGTGGCAACCTCTTCTTCTGCACGGGAGCCTGGCCCGGTAGAGGGCTAAGCACCGGGAAACTGACGCCCCTCGCCTTGGGTCTCTCCGGGTCACCCAATCTCGGGGTCCAACCTGCAGCCCCACCTCTCAGAGTGAGGGCTTCTGGAAGACAGTGCCTTTGTCACCCTGTCAAGAACTTGTGCAGTGACACAGAAACCAACACGTAGGCCTCCCAGCGACCAGGACCACGCGGACCGCTGACCTGCTGCGGGGGCCGTGCGTCGCCGATCGAGACCGGGATGAACTGGTGGCTGGTGGAGGTGAAGTGCACGTACTTCTGATCCAGCTGCACCGTCACGCCTATGAAATGGAGCTGGAAAGGGAGGGCTCCTGAGTGGTCTCCTCCTCAGGGAGGGAGGGAGGCACCCAGCAGAGGGACCCAGGGCCCCTCTCCCTAGGGGTATGGTTCTCAGCTCCTCTCTCGATTGTCCAAGGAGCAGGGCTGGGGCCTCACCAGGATCTCCCGGCCATGGGACACTTTGAAGAGCACTGGGAGGTGATCGGTGCCAATGAACAGGTGGCTGGAAGGGGGGAGACAAGTCCGGAGTGAATTCGGGAGCCCTGGTGCCAGTGGGAGAACAAACGATCACAGCGCACACGGGGCTTTGAGCACGCCAGTCCCTGGGAGCATGTGGAGACCCCTGAGTTGGGAGGGGCGAGAGGGGAGTTAAACCTCCCCTGCAGGTGGGATGGTGGGATCCCCCCAGGGTGGCAGCTACTCAGGATACGCTGGGGTCACACAGCACAAGGGGTCAGGATTTACCAGGAGCCAGGGGACAGGAGGGTCTTCGGGACTGGAAGTGAAGGGTGGGCGGTGGGGGAGGCACCTGTATTTGAACTCCACCACCTGCTCCTGCCCAGGACTCAGGCTCCCAGCCTTGGGGCTGACGGAGAACACGCAATTGTCCTGCACGCGCATTTGGTGCAGCTCCGTGCTGTCGAAGTCTGCCTGCTCTGCCCACAGCTCCAGGTCGATCTGCTGGTCACGTGGAAAGAGGAAGGCCCTGGAGAGGGGTGCAAAGCAGGAGGAGCGAAGCCTCTTAGTCAGGATAGAGAGGCGGGGGCTCTGAGGCCCAGGAGCGCTGCTGGAGGCCTCCTCCGTGTCCCCCCACTTCGTCGCGCCAGCCGGCAAGCTGTCCGGGGCATGGCTGCACAGACGGGGCTGTTGTGGATTCTCCCTGCGTAATGACTAAACAGGAAGTGAAGGCTGGGGCACCCCCTGGGGGTGCCAGGGTCGAGGAGGTCACCTACCGATGTGGGTCACTTACAGCTGGCCATTAACCCTACAGGGGATTCTGTGACAAAACTCCTAGGAAGGCCCATTTGAGGCACCCAGGAATGCCAGCAGTACCCACCAGGGCCCCTGAGAGGGACCGTATCCAGCCCAGCCTGGGCACAGGCCAGAGAACAGAGGCCCCAGCAGGTCAGGCGCTCTGAAGTTTGAAGCAAAGCGGGGCGCAGATGCATGCCCCCGAAATGCCTGCTGCTGTAGGAAAGCAGACACTGCACTCGAAATAGCCAACAAAACATGTGACAAGGGGGTCCCAGGGTCACAGCCGGAGACCTGGCACGGAGATGACTCCAAAGTGGCCGAGGCTGTGAGCAGGGGGCAGTCGGAGGGGCAGCGGACATGGCCAACACGGCCGAAAAGGCTCAGCAGGATTTGGAAAGAGCGAATCAAAACTCCCTTCAGTCAATCTTAAACACTTCCATGTCGGAAATGTGGAAAGGAGTCACACCCAATGCTGCCAAGTTTACACAAAGAGGACACACCCACAAAAATGGGGAGGAAGTGAAGAGACTGCTACCACCGTTTCCGGTAGGAATCTGGGGTAGAAGATGTATGTGCCCTTTGACCCAGGAGTTCTGTGCCGGGGAAGCGTCTGCAGGAATAAATGCGCGCGTGCAAGTGCACGTGTGTGTGCGCGAACAGGGTGTTTATCATGACCGTCTTTGTATAGCCAAAAAGAAAAAAAAAAAAGGCAGAGAACAACTAATGTCATCCAGTAAAGGAGTGATTTAATAATTTAAGGCCATTCCGACAATGGGGTATTAGGTGACTAGTGAAGAGAATGAGTGAGGGCTAGGTATTGATCTGTGTTTACCTGAAGGGAACGTTACTGATAGAATGCCCAGGAGAAAGTGATACGTATAGTGTTGTGCCGTCACTGTAAAAAGTAGTGAAAGAGAGACGGAGTGACCCTGTACCTGTCCCCAGGTCTGCGTGGTGTGCGAGTGCTGAGAGGGGAGGCTCTGGTCACCCCAGCAGGGTGGACTTGGAGGGGCAGCTGGGAATTTCCCACTTTTCTCCCACCGCCCTTTCTATCAGCTGCCTGGCCGCAGGTGAATCAACTGCTCTTGCCATTGTATCTGGGGGCCATGGGTCCGTGGGGATCTTGCTATTTGGGGGTTGTCTGGACAGTTTCAACGCTGCCGTTTCCCTCACTGCCCCTCGCCCAGTCTCCCTCCAAATAATCCCAGGCCCCCTTTTCCCTGCCACCCCTGTAGTGTGAGCAACACCCCACATCCGGGAACTGCAGCAGCCTCCCCACCTGTCCCCCACCTGTCCCCGGCCTCAAGCTGCTCCGCCTCGCAGGCCAGAGTGCCAGGCCCTGAAAGCAGCTCATGTCTTTGCCCTTCGCCCTGGCGTACATCCCATCAATGCTCTGGGAAAGAAGTCCGAACTCTCAGAAGGAGGATTCTAGGGCCTAGACCTTGGCCTCCACCAGCTTCCCCAGCCTCATTCGAGGTCTTTCCCTCCCTCCCTATCAACGCGCCAGTCACGCTGGGCCCTTCCTCTGACCCGTGACCACGCTGCAGGGTGCTCTGTTGGAAGGTTCTTCACAGCCTCTCTGCCTCTTCTCCCGAGGCGGCTGGCCTAACTCAGTTGCAGCTTTCTCCAGGGGAGCCTTTCTGATGTGGCCCCCAGTGCTGCGCACGCGCATCTGTTGCAGCCGACCTCACCCCGCACCAAAGGCTGGTCTGCCCAGAGAGCCCGCAGCGCTGGAGGGCGGGGCCTGGGCGCGGCTGCATTTCTACTCTGAGGGCCGGCCTGGACCCTGTGCCTAGGAGGCCCCAGTGGAGATTTAGCCAATGACTTAATGTGCGCATGCGGGTGCGGGAGGAGGGGCAAATGAGGTTAATGGGTCCCTGTAAGGAACCTCCCCTAAATACCAGGCCCCACTTCTGGCTGGGCCAAGGGCAGAGGCATCAGAGGACAAGGCTTGAAGAGGGTGGGCAGCGAGCGGTGCTTCCCGGATGCTGTCCTCATCCCTGGGGGCCCTCACGCCATCGTCCTGCCTGCTGCCGCCTCCAGGCCAAGTCCACACTCCCTGTCTCTGGCTGCTCTCGGCAGGAATAAAACCTTCAGCCCGTTCTTTATAGGTTCAGCAGAGACCAGCTAGAATTTTCAAAAATAGCCTTCCGAGGAAGGGAAAGGAAACGCAACACAAAACGCTCGGGCGCGTAGGGCCCTCCGAGTTAGGTTCCCGGTGCTTGGCAGCCTGGAGGAGGCACAGACTGCTTTCCTGAACCTCAAACGATCTCCTGGTGGATGGGCCCGGCTCGGCAGGCACCCAGCCTGGGTTTCCTCTCGCCTCGGTTTCCAGCCACCTGGACCCTCTCCACAGAGAGTGTGAGCTGGCCTGCTCCTACACAAACACACACGCACACACAATCCACCGAAACACCCTGCTCCACGCCAGGACACAGGCCAGCGCCGCCTTTCCTGCCCCCACCCCGGAGCCCCGGGAGGACCTGGCTCCCGGCCACTCCGGGAGCCCAGTGAATGGCAGATCCGGAGCTCAAAGCGGGCCCTGGGCCTTCCCCAGCAGGCCCGCAGCCCTGCAGCCCTGCCTGCCAAGCTTCCTCAGTCATTCAGGGCCAGAGCCCTCAGCTACTCATAGTCCCAGCCCTTCTCAGACAGCAGCCGCCTAATGGGCCAGCCTCCCCAGCTCCCTCCGCCACAGGGAGGGGCGGGCCGAGCCAGAGAGTAAGGGGCAGCCCTGAGGACTCAGCCCCCGCCCCCCCCCCACCCCGGACTCTCTGCCCAGGCAGGAAGTTCTCTGAGATCCCAGGTGTCCTGCCTGCATATTTTCCGTCCCACCCGCCCACTGCCACGCGCAGGCTGGACTCCTGGCTCTCTCCCCCAAGCCTGACGTGGACGGGCCGCTTCTCTCTCACCTCCGCGCAGCCAAAGAAAGTTGGAAGTCGTCAAAGGGCGGTTCACTAGGAAATCAAGGCGCGTGGCGGAGACAGGGAGGAAGGACAAGAAAAAGCCCTGGCGTGGAAACAGGATGTTGACTGGGCGCAAGTTCGGGCCCCAGTGGGAGGGAAGCCAAGCACGGGAAGGGCCAAGCTCGGCGGCGGCGGCGGCGGCGGGCGCAGGTCTGCAGGCCTGGGCCCCAGGTGACAGAGAGGCGCAGCCTGCCGGAGGCCCCGCGGCCCCACGTGGCTTCACTCCGCCCTACCTTCCTCCCTGACACCGCTGTGGCAGCAGATCCCGGTCCTTCTCCCCCGACCCCACCCCACCGTGAGACCCTCTGCTGGCCCCCACACGCGGGCCCCATCCCTACTGGTCTGGGGCTCTGTCGGGGTGCCCCAGCACAGTGCCGGCTGGGAAAGAGCAGGTCCAGGCCTTGCTGACTAACCCACAAGGCTGCGGGTGCCGCAGTTGGCCTGATCTGGGCTTAAACCTGGCTCTGCTGAGTCCTGAGCCTCCCATCTGTGAAAGAGTTGTCTGCAGAGGAGGATTTTTTCCCACCGTGGGTGGCAGTCTTGGAGGAGAAAGTCTTGTAAAGCACACTGCCTGGCGCGTAGCAGATGCTCAGCGTGTGCTTCTCACTCATTAGGTGTTGAGACGGTGGTGCCGTCTCCCGCAGGGTGACTCCGTCACTTCTGAGCCTACTGACGCGTCTCAGCCAGTGACAGGTGCTGCGCGCTGCTGGGTGCCCCGTCCCACCCGGGCCTCCGCACCCCATCCGTGGGGTGCCTGCTTGCGCTTTCGCAGACACCAGGCAGCGGGACTACCCTCAGCAAGGAAGGCCTCCAGCGCCTGCCTCCCAGGCCCGCAGCCACGCCCCCGATCCCGCCATACCAGTCCAGGGGCACCAGTCCGCTGTTCCTCAGGGCCAGGAGCACCACGGAGGGTGGGGCGTCGATGGGCGCTGCCCCAAAATTGAAGTCGAGCTTCAGAGGGGTGTGCACGGAGGGGATCTGACTTGTGCTGCGTGGGGCAGAGAACGGGCTCAGAGACCGGGGTAGGAACAGGGAGGGGCCTCCTGGGGAGGCTGGGCTGCCACTCATTTCCCTGCAGCTGGGAGTTAGAGACCCTGGGACTCAGGCAGGGTGGCCGAGCACACCGGACACCCAGCCAACCCCTGCCTTCTCCAGGCCCCTCCGGGATGGGCAAGAGTCTGGGGGGAGACAGGGAGCCACTTCTTGCACAGGGCCTGGTGCTGAGGGTGCGGGCGGAAAGCTCCAAGGACATCCCCAGACCCCCTCCCAGGCTCAGCTCACCTGTGCCGCGTGGGCACCTTGTAGGTGAGCTCGGAGGGGGAGGGGTCACGCTCCAAGTAGCTGTTGAGCACGTCCAGGGAGAAGAGACGCCACAGGTGCCTCCGGGCGATGCCCTCGGCGCTGCCCATGGAGCAGGCGTCCCGGATGGAGAGCGTGGGGTACACGGCCGTGAGGAAGACGTGACACAGCTCCTGCTTCTCCCCAGCCTTGTTGTCTGGGGGTGGGGGTGGGGGGGGTGGGTGAGAGGGGTGGGCTCCCCGCCAGCTCCGCTGGGCACGGCCCTGAGCGTCTCCCACACGCCACCGCCGTATTTAACATGCGCCACATTTGTGTGCAGACTAATTCTCACCAACAGCTTTATCGAGTCACAATTTATGTACCATAAAATCGACCCTTGAACACACACAATGCCGTGTGTTCTCGGCTATTCAGAGCTGTGCGACCATCACCGCTTTCTAATTTTACAATAGTGTCATCACCCCCAAAAGGAAACTCAGTACCGAGTAGCTGTCACGCCCCACTCTCCCCTCCTCCCTTCACCCCTGTAGCCCCTAATCTGCTTTCGGTTTCCTCAGATCTGCTGTTTGGGAGGCTCCACGTAAACGGAATCACCACACACTGTGCCACTTCCTGTGATTGGATTCTTTCACCTGACACAATGTTTTCAAGGTTCTTCCATGTGTTCTAACCTGTGTAAGTACCTTTTTCCTTTTTCTTGCCTGCGCCACTGTTATTATCCCCATTTTATAGGTGTGGAAACTGAGGCACGGGGAGGCTAAATAATGTGCTAAGATTACGTGGCTCATGAGCGCAGGGGCCAGGATCCAGTCCCAGGCGGTCTGGCTCGGGCCCATTCTCCGAGTCACTCTCCTGCGCTGCCCGGCCAGGCTGGGGACAGCCCCGCTCCTCCGAGGAGGAGGCCGAGGCCCGGGGCAGCCGAGGACTTGTCTGACCGCCCACAGTAAATCAGCACAGCTCTAAACTCCTCACCTTGGGTCCTCCACGGCTCGGGCATCGCATGGCAGACACCCACACAGACAGAGATGGGTGGCACAAGACACACGCACCAGTCACCCAAAGGTGTGCCTAGCACATTCGCTCCCATTCTGCTGGCTCTGTCTGGACCCTCCTCATCCCCCTACCCCGGGCACTGTCCCATGTCCCGTGGCCCAGGTACCTCTGTGGGAAAGGAGAGAGTAGCTGATGGTCCAGGCGTACTGGGACCGGCGGTTGGGACAGGCGGTCAGGCAGATGGTGCCCTGGGACCGGGGCGGCATGCTCCCCTCTGTGTGGTCCAGCCGAAGAGCTGCTCAGGGAGGGCCAGGGCGGGGCCGAGGGCAGAGCGGCCATCAGTGCTGGCCAGCAAGGCCGTGCCTCTCCTCCCGCCCCTTTCCAGATACCCTCCCTGGGTGGCAGAGCGCTGGCCCCACAGTAGGCTCTGAGCCAGAAAACGGGGAGCAGAGTCCCTCCTCCCAGACCAGGACAGAGGGGGCCTGTCTTTGTGTCATTGGCAGCAGCTGAACACTTTGCTCCACCTACTGGCCCATGAGGTAGGAGTCGCCAATAGCCCCACTTTCAGGTGAGGAAGCTAAGGCTCAGCCATGCCCCGTGCCACGCATCCAGCAAGGAGAAGCACCAAGGTTTCATCTCTGCGCTGCCGCCCACACACCACGGTCTGATTGACCGGCCTGAACGGGCTGGGCGCCCATGTCCCCGACCCCAGCCCCGGCCCCAGCCCGGGCCCAGGCCCAGTAAGTACCGGGGGCTTCGTCACTGGCGCCCTCGGGGCTGCACTGCTCCAGGAACAGGCGATAATGGAGGATACAGTTGCCCTCGTTCAGGATGGCCAGCAACCTGGACTGCTCGCCATTCACCACCATGTTCCCGAAGTCCAGCTCCTTCTCCTTCGCCTGAGGGCCAGAGTCAGCCAGCGGCGGGTGAGGGACTCCCCCCCAGCCCACGGCCCTGGCTTTCTCACCATTGGTCTTAAAGAGGATCCCCAAGGAAGGGCAGGTCTGGGGGTGCAGGCCGGGGACCAGAGGGCTCCCACCCCCGCCCTCTGGGAGTCGGGTCCCCTGGTGTGCCCTGGCCTCTACTCTGGCCCCCAGCACCCCACCCCAACCCTCCAGGTTTCTCCCACTCACAGAGAGGGTGCTGGTGATGCCCATGCCCACCAGCCGGATCATGTAGTGGGTGGTGGGGGGAGGCTTGGCTTTGGGGGGCCGGCCGGCTCCCCAGACCCACACCCCTACTCGGAACAGGTACTTGGTCTCCTCCAGAGGGCTGAAGGTCCACGTCAGCATCTGGGGTCACAGAGATTCTGCCTGGGTGGGGGTCCGTGGGACGCCCCCCCCCAACCCCGCCCAGGCTCCCGCTGTCTGAGGTCCTGCTGCAGCATCTCGGCCCCGGCAACCCTTTCGGAGAGTTCCCCCCGTGCCCCTGCTGCTGACCTCACACACGCTGGACCCTGGGTGGTTTCCCTAAGCCTCGCAATCCTTTCTCCCCGCCAGGGAAGAGGTATTATTCTAGGGCCACGTTTTCTGAGGAGAAACTGGAGTCTCGGAGAGTTGGGGTAACTGGCCCAGGGTCACGCAGCTGGTGAGGGCATTCGGCGGGAGCTGGGTAGGACCTCTCAAGGCTGACTCCAGAGTCTGTGTGTCCTCTGGCCTCGCCGACTGCTGCCCCTGACACGTGTTGGCGCTTGTTTGCAGCCCGTTTGGCCCCCCGACTAGTCTATAAGGCTCTAGACCGGGATGGGGGTCCGCTGGTTTGTGTCCCAGCCTGTCCTCCCCGCCAGACAGCCACTGGGACCTCCAGGAGTCCCTTTCCTCACTCCTAATGACAGCCACCATTTGGCCCCAAATCCAGCTGCTCCAAACCACCTCCCAGTGACCTCCCAACGTGGGGACCTCGCATGGAGCGTGGACTCACCCCTGGGCAGTGGCATCAGAAACCCTGGCCCAAGTCCCAGCTCTGCATTTCCGGATTTTACATCTTAGTAAATGGAGTTGTCTCCTAATTCTTTTTTATACAGCAGGAAGCGGTGGAAATGGTAACAAGCACACCTGGTCACAGACCGGGGGAGGTAACTACGGGTTGAGTGGGAGCTGATTGTGCCACATCGCAAGCCTGGCTCCCGACGGGCGTGTGAGCAAGAGATGACGGTGGGGTGAGCGTGGCGGGCACCCTTCCCTCTGGCCTTCAGCATTGGGGCAAGGGAACTCACGAGGTTCTCATTAGGTTGGATGAGCCCCCTGGCGGGCTGGACGGCCAGCGTCTTCCGGTACTGCTGGGAGACCCGCCAGTCAAACTCCAAGGGCAGCCGCGAGGGGTTGTGGAAGGTGAAGGGGCTGGTAGAGGAGCAGCCCACCCGCGTGGGCTTGAAGAAGATGCTTTTGTAGGTGTCCATCTTCAGCTGCAGTGGTTCCTCCCGGCTCTGCATGCTCACCTCCTGGGCCCAGAGGAGGGAGGGTACCTCACCCCACAGCCCAGGACCCCCCAGCTGTCCAGGGAGCCATGGGTGGGCAGCCCTCCCCCCTTGGAGAGGGCAGCAGAAGGCCCTCAGCCAGCCTGGGCGGAGGTAGCTTCTGGCAAAGGCAGAGCGGGTCAGGACCGACCCAGGAGACGGTTCTTGGAAAGCACTCAGGGACTGAAAGAAGATGTGGGGACCATTTCACGGGCCATTTTTGGGCCCACCACCCCTGACCCTCTCCCTGGCCTTGCCGCACACCCCTCTCTACCGCCTGCAGATATGAGTCTTGTACTGCTCCCCCTCCCTCCCATGGGACCACTGAACCCCTTTTCTGGCCTCAGACCCCATGAGGTGACCAGGCAGGGCCCTGAGCGGTGAGAGAGCTGTTCACGGATGCGGCAAGGAGGTCCTCTCCCTGCCACACCCCTTCCTGCTGGAGGGCCAGCAGCCCCTTCTCTCCTTTAGGTGAGGCCTAGAGGCCGACCCCAGAACGTGGCTTGGAAAAGGGCCGCCCCAGACTACGGCCCACTCCCCAGGCCCCGGCCCTCTGCCCCAGCCCCTACCTTGAGATACTGGGGGCAAAAATTGAACTGCAAGTAAAAAGTGTGCTGCTTCCAGGAGGTGCCCTTGGGGTAGGTGCAGACGAGGAAGATCTGATGGGCCCCGGGGGCCAAGAGGCCCGAGCTGGGCAGGAGGGAGACATCCGAGCTGCTGCTGGGGGCCAGGTTGAAGGTCAGCAGCAAGGAGCCCTTGTTGGTCAGGAGCAGGCTGCGGTAGGAGGGCTCACCGGGAGACACTGCGGGGAAGAGCTGGGGTGCGAGAGACAGGGGACCCAGCCTCAGACCCACGTGCCTTCCCGTGCCTGACCCACACACTCGGGGGAAGTCTGTGGGGGCTTGGGTGGGCCTGTCTCCAAGGAGATCCAAGACGCCTCCACGCATCCCAGGCAACGCCCTGGGAGCAGGGAACAAGGGGAGGCCACAGCTTGGCACCGAAAAACGCTTCTGTCCTCCAGAGACGTCCAGCATTCGCAGGCACCGGCCCCCAGGAGACCCAGGCCCCCACGAGCCCTGCTCTAGGTTAGGGAGGAGCTCTCCCATTTCCGGGTGTCCTCAAGCCATCTTTCAGAGAACTTGCTTTCAGGGATCCCGGTCCAGAAGTTCTGGGGTAAGCAGCTCCTTCCGGATGATTCTCCCCCCAAGTGGCTGAGGGGAACCCCACTCTCAGAAAGTGAAAACCCCAGCAATCCCAGTTCCCAAACACTCCCTAAGCATCTCGGGCATGGCCAACACCAGGATGAGAGCCGGGCAGGCTACAGAACACACGGGCGCCCCACCCAGCCGGGTCACAGGTGCGCTGCATGAGGCAGCGGGGCAGCAACAGGGGCCCAGAAAGTGCTGGGTGGCAGCAAAGGCCACACACCGCGGGAAGGAACTGGCCAAGGGAACCCCCGTGTGGTCAGGGAGGGCTTCAGGTGGGGCTGCCCGCTCAGAAATGTAGCCAGAGGGAGGGGCAGGATCACCCCCAAGCACATTTTTACGAAAGTGGTGGGTTTCTGGCAATACGAGGGTAGTGAGGGTGGATGAAAAGACCGGCCCCAGCACTGAAGGGGGAACCTGACCGGAGCCTGGCCATCTGCTCCGGGGCCTGTGCTCTCAGGCCGGGTCACCCTGCTGCTCAGAGAGGAAGGGTCCAGGGATCACGACCCCCCAGGAGGGGCTGCCTCTGAGACCCATGCCGGTTCCAGTGGTCCCCAAGGGCAGGGGCTCTTGATGTGGTTGGTGGTCCTGCCCCAAACAGGTGTTCAGTGAACGGGGCAGACGAATGGAGGGAGTTGGAGCGTTGGGAGCCTGAGTGTGAGAGGATGGGGATGGTTTCAGACGCAGCAGGCAGGGCGCAGCTGGCTGAGCCCCAGACTCTCCGCAGTTCCAGTGCCAGGGCCCAGAGAGCCCTCGACTGGCCCAGGGCCCCAGGGGCTGGCGGTAGGTAGGGAGGTTAGGACAGCCCGGGAGGGAGAGGAAGAGAGGGAAGCGGGCTCCCCTGTGCCAACTCCCACCGCTGCGGGTGCCACACTCACCGCGGGCACGTCCAGGCAGTACTGCGGGATGTGGCGCTCCAAGGCCGCACTGCAGCTGTGGCCCCGCGCCCGGAGCGTCAGGCACCAGGAGGGGCACACGGTGCAGTCCTCCTCGATGCTACTGAAGTTCTGCAGCACCTGCAGGGGCGGGGCAGACCCACGGACACGCTCAGAGCCCTGGGTGGGCCCTGTGCGGCTCTGCAGCTTGCCCTGCGCTGCGGATGTCCTGCATCGGCACAGGGGGGCGCGGCTCCCTGGCAGTGAAGACCTCAGGACAGCCCCTTGCTCCTGCTGCGAGCCAGGCCCCCCACACTGGGCTCTGAGCCCCGCGTCTCTAACCCTCACAGCAGCCCCAGCACAGCCTGCAGGAGTGTGCGCTTGCCGCTTGCCGGCAGAAAGGTGACGAAGGTCACAGACAGAACTGTAAAGGTTCCAACAGAGCACAGGAGGCACACACGAGGCCCACCGGCTGAGTCCGGCCCTCCACCATGTTTTATCTGGCCCAGCACCTTTTCTCTACCTGGTGGCAGCACTGAGCTCTTGCTTAGCAGTTAAGAAACAGTTACATTTATATACTCCTAAAATTACATTCAGCCCCTTGAAGGCCACCGAGAGGTTGACGTGGCCCCTGGTGGAAATGAGTTTGGCACCCCTGTGATAGAGGCACTAATAAAGTGAAACACATGAAATAATTTCAATTATACGTTTTATTTAACCCAATAAATCTAAAAATCTCATTTCCACATATAATTGATATATATGTGATCTGCCAGGCATTTTGCATTCTTTTTGTGCTAAGTCTTCAAAATCCAGAGCATCTCCTGCCCTAAACAGCACATCTCAACGTGGAGTGGCCAAGTTTCCTGTGCTTGGTGGCCGCCTGCTGTTTTGGACGGCGCAGGGCTAGGCACGTGGCCCGAAAACCGGAGGGGCTCAGCCCCGGCCCAGGCAGGCGTCCACAGCCTCATTCCTACAGACCTCCACGCTTCACTGCCGAGGTATCAGAACGGAGGCGGTTCAAGACTCAGTTCCGGAAAGCCTTCTTGGACGTTTGGGTATGACCCCAGGTTTATAGATGAAAAGACCAGGGCTCAGAGACATTAAGGGACTCGCCCAAGGTCACATGGCTGGAAAGGGACTCTAACCTTGACCGCACTGCTCGACTCTTCTGCCGGCACCCAGCCAGGCCTCTGGGAGAGAGCAACCGCGGGGGGGCGGGGCGCAGAGCTGAGAAGGGAGGGAAAGGGCAGGACCACCTGGAGAGCAGGGGGAGTGACATGCGTTTGGGGCTCAGGCTGGGCTGCGGTGAACCTGTGCTCCCAGGTTCCTGGCCGAGGGAAGCTGTGCTAGAAGCTCCTCCCACCCACACACCTAATTACCTGCGTAACACCCACTTCAAGGGCAGGAAGAGACGCCAGGAGCCCAGGGAGCTACTCCTCGTACCCCCAACTTTCCCCAAGGCCTTGACCCAGTGGAGTTCTCCCTCTGGAGGGGGTACGAGGCCACACGTGAATGAGACATAATCACAGTGGCCGAGAAGCCACTCAGCCAAGGCAGGCCCTGAGCCTGGGAGAAGACAAACCAGTGAGGCCACTGTCCAGCCAAGACGACAAGGAGAAGAGCCTGGCACAGAGTGGACAGGTCCTACAGCACCCCTCTGTCACCCCCTCCCACCCCACCCCACCATTCCGGCAGAGAGCCCACCGTCCCTGACCTGTCTGCCTGCACGCACCTTGTAGACAGCAAAGGCTTCGAGCTCTACCATGTAGAGGCAGTTTGGGTGAGGCGGCTTGAAGTGCAGGCGCATGGCCGTGGACTTGAGTGGGGGCACATCGCAGGTTTCTGGGGTCACCCAGAAGGGGCAGTCAGACCGGTGCGTCCACATCACAGTGATCTTGCCCTTGGTGTGGTTCATCAGGCACAACGGAACGGGGTTGGGATCCTCCGGTCCGAGGCAGGCACCGAAATCCACCTCAAAAGGCTCCATGCTGACGGGTGGGGCGAAGATGGCCAAGTCCCTGGTGCCGTCGAAGAAGTACTCGGTCGTGGGGGGGATGAGGGAGTACTGCAGGGCCGGCGTGTCCTGCAGGTCCTGGTGGGGACAGACGGGTGGGTGGGGCCCAGCTGCCATTCTTCCTGCATGTCCCTCATCCACATGCTTCCTTCCAGAAAAAGCCACAAGAGCCCCCCACCCGGGTCACCCCCACCGCGCCCGGGGGGCACAGGGCTGCCTGAGAACTGCTGGGGGAGGGGAGCCTGGCCCCCGGGGCCCAGTGGGGACCTCGAACCTCCGTGGGAATCATGAGGGCCCCGTTCTTATCCCGCTCCAGCTTCTTGTCATTCAGCATGAGGCCCAGGATGTCAGGTGGGTAGAGCGTCAGGCCCCGCACCAGGTGTGTGCGGTACCAGGCGATGTGCTGAGGCCTCAGGATGGCTGGCTTGGTGCTGTCCGAGTGGCAGGTCCCGAGCAGGTCCACGAACAGGGGGTCCTGCGACACTTGTCCAAGTGAGTGAGGCTAGAGTCCAGCTCCCGCTCATCACCTTGGCCAGACGCCAGGTGGTCAGGGCACAGTCTGAGCGGGTTTGCCCAGGGGCTGGGTCAGGGTGCTCACCACACGGCCCTCAGCTCTGCGCGTGCTGTGCGGAGTGAGACCCAGTCACCCCCTCTCTGGCCGGGAGCAGCAGGGCAAAGTGGCACCCTCACCTCGCTCAGAATAAACTGCATGTGCCTCTGGCGGTGCCGTGACTCCAAAAACCAGGCTGGTGCCCTGGAGGAGGTGATCCAGGCAGACAGCCCCGGAAGCTCCAGGACACAGAGGTGAGCACCAAGCAGGGTCTTTATCACTGGACCTCAGCCTGGCCCCTCCCCTCCCAGGGAAGCCCCACCTTGACCACGCCCTCACCGCTCACCTGGTGGTGGATGAGACAGGCCACCCGCCGGAAGTAGATGGTGGGGTGAGTGGGCTGGAAGGCACAGAGCAGGGTCAGGCGGGCCCTGCCCACCAGGGTCCCGAAGGTGGGTCTGATGCTGAAGGCGCTCTCCTGGCAGTCGATGGCAAACTGGAAGTGGGCCACGCAGTCCGATTTGTTCTCAATCCGCAGGGACTGCTCCGAGCGCTCTCCGAGGTCGACCCGGCCGAAATTGACGCAGTAGTGCTGCAGGGACACTTCAGGACCTGGGCATGGGAGATGGGGTCCCTGTGAGCAGGTCCCGCCACCTGGGCGGAGCTGGAGTGTCAGCCTCCCCGAGGGCGTCTCAGAAGGGACCCCACTGATGGAAGAGGGTGCTTCCCAGAGACAGAAGACAGGGCTGGGAAGGCTGGGTGTCCCAGTAGCTTGAGCAGACCTCCAGGTCACCAGGGGGCAGGCACAGGATCTCTGGGTGTGCTCACTGAGCCCACCAGGGGGCAGCAGACACCGAGGCTGAAGGGCTGGGAGCATTTCCCAGTTTTCAGCGAGGGCCGTTCCTGTCCCCGCAGGAGTGCAGCGTCCTGGGGCTGTCAGTACCTCCACAGAAACCAACGACTTTGATCACAGTTTGGGAGGCACAGCCAGAGGGTAGAATGGACAAGTAGTCCATCGTTCTGACGTCCAAGGTCTTGGGATGGAAAAACACAGACACGCATCTCTTCTCTCCTGGGGGCACGATGCCACAGGTGGTGGGGCATGAGAAGGCCTGGTCTTTGGTCAGCGTGTCCGGGGCCACTTCAATCCTGAAGGGGGCACTCACCTGTGGGGCCACGTGTGCACAGGAGGGGTCAGGTCGCAGGGTGGGGCAGTCTGTCATTACCAAGGGGCCCAGCCAGGGGGTGAGGGCAGCTGGCGTCTAGCCTGTGCCTCACTCGTCAGCGGGGCCACGGGCGATGCTGCCCGCACCGGGAGCAAGGAAGGGGCGGAGCCCTGGGCCCTGTACCAGGCCGTGGGGCCGACCAGAGGGGTGCCTTCCCCCACCCAAGGGACCAGAAAGGCTCGCTGTGGTTCTGGGGTCTGGACCGCCCCGGGGCTGCTCTTGGGACTGGTCTGGAGAACCGGAAATACCCTAGCCCAGCCATCCCCTGGCCCGCTGAGAGGAGAGGGGGACATGTGTTGACACACATGCGTCCGAGTGACGGGCAGGAGTTATGCGCGGTTTGGCGCCAGAGGTGTGGAGAGAAAGGGGTGCCTTCTGTGCGGGGGCGGGATTCGGGAGCACCCGGCGGCGCGGTCCCGAGTGCTGCCCCCCAGCCTCCGCATGCGCAGGCCGCGTACCACCGATGGGTTGTACAGTCTGATGTGCCTCTCGGCGATGCAGCCCACAGCCACAGTGCCGAAGTGCAGCACTCGCTGGAAGCCCTCCACATCCTGGTCCTCGGGTTGCTTATGCTTTATGCTCACCAGCAGCTGGGCGCATTTGCCTGTGTTGGAGAGGGTGGGAGGGGGCTCTGGGGGAAAAACCCACCAGGGCCTCTAGAGCCCCAGCTGAACAGCCCCTCGAAGATGGTAGGCGTCTCCCCCCCTGGGAAACACTTTGCCAAGGGAGGCAAAGAAAAGGCAGAGCTGCAGGGCGGGCAGGGGAGGCCAGAAGCTGGTGGAAGTCCCATGAGGGGAAGGCCAGGGCAGAAGGTGGGGTTGGGGTACACTGAGCCTTTAAGAGCCAGGAAGGTGCAGCAGGTGGGCTCAGGGCCAGGTGAGAGCCGAGCCTCACCTGTAGCCTGCAGCTGGATGCTGCTCTTCTGCTTGCTGCCCTCCCCATACCAGCACGTGGCCTGGACTTCATAGATGACAGCCATAAGGGGCTGAAAGGTCACCTTGACCCGGCAAGTCTGACCTGGCTCCAGCAGCCCCTCGGTGGGCAGCATCTGGAACGGGCTGGAGAACTCCCAGGTGAAGAAGGTGGCCAGGTCCCTGGAAGGTGGAGAAAGTCAGAGCCCCCGGGCTCACGCTGATCACTGCCCTGCTCTAGAAAGGTGGAGATGCTGGGACTGGGCGAGCTCTTTACTCCCCCTCCCCCTTGCCCTGCCAGAAACCGAGGTCTCTCTTCTGGGGAGGGGGGGCATCGCAGTTCTTGCTCCTCCCATCTCTGCGCCTCAGCCACTGCCCTCACCCGACGTTATCCAGGCAGAACCAGGCCTCGGCCATGTCCCCCACGGCGCACAGGGGCAACTGCAGGGACGGTGGGCAGCTCAGATGGTGGCGAGGCAGGATGGCCCTCAGGCCCACACAGAACATTCCCTCCGCTTTCTCAAACCACAGCTGGTCCTCGTACTCCTTCTGCATCGTGGGGTGGGCAGCAGAGGCAGCCCCTGATTGGTGGTCACTGGGCAGGACTCAGGGACAGGCACCTCCCACCCCAGCCCTCGGCCACTCCCCCAACAGGACCACTGAGGGGAGGGCCCAGCTGTGGCCCTCTATCTCAGTCTCCAGGAAGGGGCTGGTAATCTGTGCTCTACCACTGTCTTGGTCGCAGACACAGGGGGTCCCTTCTGTGGGGAGCAAAGTACGTAGGGGGAACGTTTTGAGAGCAGGAAGAGACCAAGGAACCCAGGGCTTTCTGACGGCCAGTGAGTGGCACAGCGAACACCCAACCGCAAACCCTGCCTGTCTAATGAGTGCAGGGTCTGAGCCTCCCCGGCGCTTCCCAGCCTGGACTTGGCTACAGTTGGTGGGATGTGTGCATGGTGGGGGCGGCAGGGCTCCTTGTGGCTCTGTCAGTTCCAGGGTCACTGTGCATGTGTCCCTCACTGCCCTCTGCTCATCACGGTGGCCATACCTCCTCCAGAGGCCGGAAGACGATGGGGAGCGTGAGGGTTATGCCTGGGCTCAGGAGGATGGGCTGAGGGATGACCGTGAAGAAGAACTTGGTCTTGGGGGGCCTGCAGGAAAGAACCAGAAGGCGAGCACTGCAGGGTCAGGGCTCAGAAACTAGACGGGGCAGAGAGCGCAGGGAACACCCTGGAAAGCTGAGCGGGCTCGAGTCCTTGAGACCCTACAGGGGGAAACCAACCGAAGAGAGACAGGAGCAAGGGGGCAGCACCTGTATCTCCGATGCCCACGGTGGTCATGGGGACAGGGCTGGGAGGGCCGCCCTGATCTAACCAAATCCTTGGGGGAAACCAAGGCGGGAGCAGTGGTACCCAGGACGCCTTTCCAAACAGACGCCTTGATAGAGCTATCGAGTTCCAGGGGGGGTCCCAGGTGTAGATACTGCAGTGGATAAGAATATTCATAAGATGACACTGGCAACAACACTACACTAACAAATGTTACAGTTTAGAATGTGTTTGCATTTGTAGGCAAGCGTAACTTAACCAAACTGACTCAAGAATTATACAATGAACTTTTTGGTCGCCCTCACTAAAATCATCAAAGTTGTGTAAGTAGTCAAATCTTCCCATAAAGAAAATACTGGCCCTGGCTGGTGCGGCTCAGTGGATTGAGTGCCGGCCTGTGAAACAAAAGGTCGCTGGTTCAATTCCCAGTCAGGGCACATGCCTGGGTTGCGGGCCAGGTCCCCAGTAGCGAGTACGTGAGACGTAACCGATTGTTGTATCTCTCACATCTCCACGTTTCTCTCCCTCCTTTCCCCTCTCTCTCTAAAAATAAATAAAATCTTTTTTTTTTAAAGAAAACATTAGGCTGTTTTCTTTAACAAGAAAGAAAGTCATACTGAGCATTTGGTAAAAAATAATTCCAGCCTTATCTTCCTGGTAATATAAGACAAGAAAACACTCCCCTCCACATTCTATGAACCTATCATAACCTGACCAAGGCAGGAGAAGAACGGAAAATTACAGACCAATATCACCCATGAACAAAACGTTAGCAACAAAATATTATACCTTAGCAATGTATAGAAATATGCAATCCTGACCACATTGGGCTTATTCTAGGGATACACAGTTGGTTTGACATAGAAAATCAATGTCATCTACCATATTAACAAATTAATTTTAAAAATCAAATAATTATCTAAATTTTCAAAAAATGAAATAAATCCACCTATGATTACAAGAAAAATCCTCAGCAACCTAGGAATAGAAGGGAACTTCCTTAACCTAGTCAAGTCCAGGGGAAAAGACTGAAGAAACACCCGAATCCACGTGAAACAACAGGGTCTTTCACTTGGAGATCACGGACATGGCGCCTTCCCTGGCCACTTCTGTTCAGCGCTTCCCTGTCCGATGGTGCAGCGAGGAACGGCAAAGACAGAGTATGCACAGGGACCGGAAAGGAAGGAAAGAGGTGTCATGTCCGCATAAAATGTGAATGTGTCCGTGGAAAAAAAGAAGTAACAAATAGATTATTAGAATTAACGCAAGGATACCAAAGTTGCTAGACGCCACAAGGTTATGCACAAAACATTCCTACTTTTTAAAATGACTTTCTGAAATAGTGGGAACAAGCAGAAAATGAAACAACTTCCAAAGGTATCACATACAATGTCATCAAAACTAAAGGACTCAGGAATGAACCAGCTAAAGATCTGTGAGCTGTCTGTGGAGAAAGTGTCACGCTTTTCCGAAAGAATGAGAGAAGACCTAAGTGAATGTAAAGACACACCATGTTCATGATTGAAAAGACTCCATGTGTAATCCACTTCTCCCTGAACTGATCTATGGGTCCAATTAAATCCCAATCAGCATCTCAAGAAGTTTTTTTCTGTGTAGCTGTGATAAGCTGATTTGAAAATGTATGTGAAAGTTCGAACGGCCACAAACAGCCCAGGCAACCTTGAATGAGACTGAAGCTGCAGGACCAACACTACCAGATATCAGGACACAATCAATTCAGGATGCTACTGGCCCAGGGAGAGCCAAGTGGACCAAGAGAACAAAACAGACAGCTCAGAAATGGACCCGTTCCTCATACAGGGACACCTGACATGCATCAGTGGTGGGGGGGTGGGGGTCGTGAGGGAAAGTTTGATCCTTTCAACAAATGGATCCTGACTTCAAACCATTAAAGAAACCAATCCCACAAAGATAGAAGACAACGCTAAAAGGAAAACCCAGAAGGCCCTTAGAGGGTGGCTACAGGAAATACCTTCCTGACCTACACGGGCACGGAAGGGCTTCTTAAAGAAAACACAGAAAAGCATCCAAAGCATCAACCACAAAAGAAAAACATACATTTGATTTGTTTGAAATTAAGAACTTCTGCTCTTCAAAAGGCATGACGAAGAGAGGAAAGGACCAGCCACCAGGTGGGAGAAGAAATCCACAACGCGGAACGGACAGAGGCTTATTACCCATGATGGAAACTACTCTTTGGGAAAAAATGATCTACCAGAAAAACGGGCACAGACTTAACCGGGAATTTCACCAATGGAATGGTCAATAACATAATAATGCAGACACTCAACTGCATTAGGAATCTGCGAAATGCAAGTTTAAAACTGCAACAAATTATCATTATTAGCCAAAAAAAAAAAAAAGTGTTTTCCTGACCACAGCAATTGTTGATAAAAATGTACAGGAATGACTTCTGGCCAAGATGGAGGCGTTGGTGGACACACTGTGCCTCCTTGCACAACCAAAATAAGGACAACAACAATTTAGAAACAAAATAACCAGAACTGACAGGAAATTGAACCATATGGAAGTCGGATAACCAAGGAGTTAAAACAAACACATTCACCCAGACCGAAAGGTGAGGCGGAGTCAGACGGCTGGGCGGAGAGAGGTCGTGGCACGGAGAGCGGTCGCACCGGGCGCTCAAGGCACCCTGGGCGCACAGGACAGCAGCGGGCGGACCCCGGGCGCGGGTGGCAACAGGCAGACCCTGCGAGGCAGTGATTGTGAAGCGGGGCACTGCACACCAGGCGCTGGCTGACTGGGTGGTCCCACATTTGTGCGCAGATAAACCAGGCGGAACTGGAGACTGAGACAGACCGCGCAGCCCAGGGTCCCAGCGCCAAGAAATAAGGCCACGGATCATGGATTGAAAACACCTGTGGGGGGTTGCAGCGCAGGGAGAGGCTCCCAGCCTCATGGGAGAGTTCACTGGAGAGACCCACAGGGTCCTGGAACACACACAGGCCCCGCCCCCTCCCACACACACACACTGGAATCAGCACCAGAAAGGTCCAGTTTGCTTGGGGGAAGTGGCGGAAGGGACTGAAATCTGACAGAGAGCAGAGCGGGTGGGGTCTAAGTTCCCTCTTAGACCCCACCCCCACATACAGCATCACAACCCAGCGACTGGGTTGCCCCGCTCTGGTGAACACCTAAGGCTCCACCCCCTCATACGTAACAGGTGCGACAAAACAAAACAAAAAAAAATGGCCCAAATGGAAGAACAGATCAACATTCCAGAAAAAATACAACTAAGCAACGAAGAGATAGCCAACCTATCAGATGCACAGTTCAAAGCACTGGTGTGATCAGGATGCTCACAGAACTGGTTGAATTTGGTCGCAAATTAGATGAAAAAAATGAAGGCTATGCTAAGTGAAATGAAGGAAAATGCATAGGGAACCAATAGTGATGGGAAGGAAACTGGGACTCAGAACAACAGAGTGGACCAGAAGGAAGAAACAACCAACCAAAAAGAAAAGAATGAAGAAACAAGAATTCAAAAAAATGAGGAGAGGCTTAGGAACCTCCAGGGCATCTTTAAATGTTCCAACATCTGAATTATAGGGGTACCAGAAGGGGAAGAGGAAGAGCAAGACGAGGAAAAGTTATTTGAACAGATAATAAAGGAGAACTTCCCCATTCTGGCAAAGGAAATAGACTTCCAGGAAGTCCAGGAAACTCAGAGAGTCCCAAAGAAGCTGGACCCAAGAAGGAACACACACAGGGCACATCATAATTACATTAGCCAAGGTAAAAATGAAGGAGAAAATCCTAGAAGCAGCAAGAGATAAGGAGACAGTCACCTACAAAGGAGTTCCCATCAGACTGTCAGCTGATTTTCAAAAGAGACCTTACAGGCAAGAAGGGGCTGGAAAGAAGTATTCCAAGTCATGAAAGGCAAGGACCTACATCCAAGATGGTTCTATCCAGCAAAGCTTTCATTTAGAATGGAAGGGCAGATAAAGTGCTTCCCAGATAAGGTCAAGTTAAAGGAGTTCATCATCACCAAGCCCTTATTATATGAAATGTTAAAGGGACTTATCTAAGAAAAAGGAGATAAAAAACATGTATAGTAAAATGACAGCAAAATCACAATTATTAACAACCACACCTAAAACAAAAACAAAAACAAACTAAGCAAACAACTAGAACAGGAACAGAACCACAGAAATGGAGATCACATGGAGGGTTAGCAACAGGGGAGTGGGAGGAGGAGAGAGGGGGAAAAGTTACGGAGAATAAGTAGCATAGATGGTAGGTAGAAAATAGGCAGGGGGAGGGCAAGAATAGTATGGGAAATGTAGAAGCTAAAGAACTTATGACACATGGGCATGAACTAAAGGGGGGGAATGTGGGTGGGAGAGGGTGTGCAGGGTGGAGGGGAATGAAGGGGGGGAATGGGACAACTGTAATAGCATAATCAATAAAATATATTTTAAAAAATAAAATAAATGTACAGGAACAAGAACTCTCATAGGTGGCTGGTGGGACTATAAACGATACAAGTACTTTGGAAAATACTTTGGCTTTGTGTACAAAAAGCAAATGTACATGTTCTAAGTCACAGCAATTGTTATGTACCTACCCTAGAGAAACTCTGCACTTGTGCAACCAGAATTGTATACATGAATGACGATTAACAGTCTCAAACTGGAAATCCAAATGTCCCTCAACTGAAGAATGGACGAATACATTGTAATACTGTACAAACATGCACTGGAATATTATACTGCACCAAAAAGGATGAGTTATAGCTGCATGTGGATGGGTCTTACGAACATAAGCGAGCAAAATAAAAGTGTTAAAAAAAGTATACCATGTTAGCCCTGGCTGGTGTGTCTCAATGGACTGAGTGCCAGCCTGCAAACCAAAGGGTTGCTAGTTTGATTCCCAGTCAGGGTACATGCCTGGGTTGCTGCCCAGGTCCCCAGTAGGGAGTGCTGGAGAGGCAACCACACATTGATGTTTCTCTCCCTCTCTTCCCCTTTCTAAAAATAAAAAAATAAAATCTTTTAAAGAAGTATACCATGTTATTCCATTTGTATCAAGTTCATTAAAAAGTAAAATTAACCTTTATCACTTAGGGATGCAAACATAGGTGGTAAATCCATTTGAGGAAAGCAAGGAAATGATTATCATGAACATCAGGATAATGGTTACCTTTATGGGTAGGGAAGGCGTTTCAATACGGAAGAGACAGGTAACGGGAGGAGAGCTTTGGACACTGTTGTTCTGTTATTTGATCTGGTCACATGGGTTCCACTTTTGGTAATTCTTCAAACCACACATGTTTTATACACTCTTCTGAATTTATGACATTTTTAAAGGGTTTTTTTTTTAGTGGCTGCTTGAGAGCCCAGGGGCTGGCTCTCTGATCCCCCATACTCATACCTGTACTTCATCTTCTGGATTTTGAAGGATAGATTTTTCAGAGCCAGGTTCTTGGTGACCTCCTTCCCTAGCTCCCAGCCTTTCCACAGCAGCTCCTCAGCCACCTCGATGCCCCAGATGACCCTCTTCTTCATTTTGTCCTGCTTCTTTGGGAAGCACATCTGGGGATCCGTGGAGCTGGCTGGCTGTTCGGTTGGCAGAGAGAAAGAAGGACGGATGACTGGGGTAGGGTTCCAAGACCCAGAGCACAGGCAAAGATCTCTCCAGCCCCAGAGAGTGACGCATTACACCTCAGCCCTGGGGGATGGTCTGGTGAGAGCAGGTGAGGGGCAGGCAGGCCCTGGAATCAGATCCTGCCTCCTCCAAGGCCACTGAAATGGGTTTTCAACTAGACCCCTGGCGACCCTGCCCCTGAAGCCTTCCCTGGGCCACCCCGTCTGGCGGTTCAGTCTGGCACACGTAGGAGTCTTTGCTGGCCTAGTCTGTGTCTCGGTGCCCCCTCAGATACCGCTCCTCTCAGATGCTGCCTTCCCCTCTTCCTCTCCACCCTCCCCTCCCCTGCAGAAGCCTCTCCGAGCTGGAGCCGTCCATCCCAGGCACCTTCCCAGACCAGGAGAATACTCCACCATTCCCTCTCCTCCTTCATGGTGGCTGACGGAGCAGAGGAAGGAGTCAATTTGCCTGCAGCCAGCCCCCACCCCATGCCCTGCCTCAGGGGCCACTCCAAGCAGCACTCCCGATAATGCCACAGCAGCCATGTGCCAACACTTCCCGCCTGTAATGGAAAATCCCTTCGTGGGCAGATCGCTAACTTCCACCTATTTGAGCGGGGAAGGGAATGGAAAACCCCCAGGGATGCGAGGTGGAAGGAGGATGAACCGGATGCCTCTTCCTGCCGCAGTCATTGGTACAAAAGCTCAACCCATTGCTCTTTTATTTTATCTTTGACCAAAGATTACTTTTATATTGTTACATAGCATAAGAATATATTCATCTGTTCGACAAATATTTGCCGACTACCTATTTAGGAGCCAGACACAGGGCGAGGTGGCGGGACTACAATAGTGAACCAGACGGACAAATCCCTCCTCTCCTGGAGGCTACACTCTGGGCGTCAATATTTACAGAGTGTCAGATGCCGGGGTAGCGTTTTCTCTCCCACTTCGCCTGTGGGGAAAAGGTGACATGGGTAATTTATTATAAATGCTGGCTGGTGCATCGGTCAAGTCCAACCAGGAACAGAAGCTACTCTGGGTATTTAAAACAAGGACTTTAATGCACAACCAGGGGATGGTGAAGTACCGTATTTTTCAGACTATAAGATGCACTTCCCCTGCCCCGCACCCTGCCCCACATTTGGGAGGAAAAATGGTTGTTAATGCTGCTGTTGAGTCCTGTTTACATTTACATTGGTGAAATATTATATTATGTATGTTATTAAATATTTTACCACAATTTTTTCTTCAAAAAATTTTTTCCTATTTTCTCCTCTAAAACCTAGGTGTGTCTTATGGTCCGAAAAATACGGTAACCCTGAAGTTAGCAACATCAAGAAGCTGCGACCACACCTACGTTAAAGGGGGGAGTGGGGTTCTCAGAGCCCAGAGGCCTGTCTGGTGGGGACTGGAGTCACCGGAAGATGCGACTCCTACTGGAGACACTGTCAAAATCAGAGAGGAAGGGAAATACCCTGGCTTCTCCCCTCCTTCCACCTCCCATGTCCTGCCAGCGCCCAGCAGAGCAGGGAAGGGCAGTGAGTGAACCTTAGGACAAGCAGGCCCGGAATGGCACAGAGGGAGGGGTGAGAAGACCCCTGATTCACAAGGAGGCAAGTCAAGTGCAACCACCATCACATCTGCGGCTATGCAAGAATCCACCGGCAGGCACAGGAGGCACCAAATACAAAGCCCCACCCCACAGTCACACCCTTAGGCCACCGCCCCCACCCCACTCCTGCGCCATCACACAGAGAGAACCCTAAGAGCTGCAAAAGGGTAATCAGCATCTATGTATTGGTCAAACACAGAGCCCTAGGGGTCATGACAAGAAGAGCCTCCTGAGGGCAAAGAGAACTCCTGGCCACTCTACCAGCCTCCCACTCACATCCCCCTAGAGGGCACCCCCCACCCTGGTCCCTCACTGCTACCACTGCTCCAGCCAGCTTGGTGCCCATCTGTGCAGGATCTAGTGCTGGGGTTCAGATGGGAAGGTCAAGCCCTTTCATATTCCTCCGAGCTGCCACTCCTCCCCGGGCCCTGGCCCTGCTGCGCCCTGTCCCACCTGCCCTGGACGTGCACTCACGCGGGCAGTGGTGCTGCTGCAGTTGTAGGCACTCGCGGTCGCACTGCTACCAGTCATGGTGGGGACAGCCATTGTGCTAGCACTCAGGCATGACCCAGAGGTCATGGCTTAGTTCCTGCTGTCTCGCGTCCTGGTGAAGGGGCTTGGGGCTGCCTGGATGAGCCTCAGGGTGCCCAGGACAGGAGTCTATGGGGAGCACTCTGGCTAAGCCAGGAGTTCCTGCCAGAGGAGAGACAGGACGGACATGAACAAGAGAGGCCGATAGAGAAGACTCGTTCTCATGGAGGAGTGCCTGCGTCCCGGCTCTGGCAACAGATGTGAGGAACGAGCCTGGGCCAGAGAGGCAAACAAGGCCTCTGCCTGCAGTTACAAAGCGAACATTCCAATGGAATCAAAGAAATGCAAGCTGGGGAGACAGGGAAGAGGGTCCCACTACTTCTCTGCTCCTGGACAGCTTTGTAGTTCTGACCTGACCTTGACTGCCTGTGACTTCAGGGATTCTAGAGACAGCCCTGACTCAGGGCTCTGAAGAAGTCTCCAGACGACACGTGAAACATCCCAGTGCAGGCCAGCAAGAAAGGAGAGAGGATGGGGTAGGAAGCTGGCCCAGGCCAGGGCTTAGGGCTTAGGAGAGCGGGCCCTGGTCATGGAGCAAAGGGAGCTGGGTTCCAGCATCTGCTCAGATTCAGGTAAGGTGGGCAAGGATTCCTCCAAATTCCCGAGCCTCAGTCCGCTCACCTGCAAAGTGAGGGTCATGCTCTCTCACAAAGTCGATGTGAACCTCAAATGAAATTAGGGATTTGAAAAGCCGTCGTTCAACTTAACGTTACTATCATTAACAACCATAACCTCCACACTAGCCTGCACTACTCTTCCAAAAAGACACACGTGCAGTCCTTGTGAATACACTGGGTGAGGAGGGGGTGTGTTTTTTTTAACCCACATTTCTCATCTCTAGGACTTAAAAAAAAATGTATTAGTAATGTAATGTATTAGCTTCCAAACTTTCTAACTTCCAATCTAAAAATGCCTGACATGACTAGTGGAAAAAGTGGCAGGCTGTCGTGTAGAGTTAAGGGAAGAAGAAATAGGTAAAACGAAGGGACAAGATTTACTTAGAGCTGTTCCTCCTTTCTCTTCGGGATCCCCAGTCTGATTGAGCTCACCCGAGTCTCGGTCCCACGGGATTCTCTGAAGGACACGGAGGGGACCCCTGACTACTTTCCGGAGGAGGTGGTCTCCTGGGGCAGATACCTTTTCTGGCTACTGGCGCCGCTCCCTGGGTCTCTGGGTCCCTGGGTCCCTGCGTCCTCGCGTCCCCGAGTCCCCGAGTCCCTGAGTCCCTGCGTCCCTGGGTCCCTGGGATCAACGCTCAAAACTCACACCACTGCCGTACGGTCGTTTCCACAGATACAGGACGCACAGGACGCGGCGTCTCCTGGTATCCCGGGGCAACGACGGCAGCCCGAATGGGTCATGTTTCGTAGAAGGCGAAAAAGCCGCCCAACGTGAAACCCTCCCCGCATTTTAAAAATATTCTCACGTTTCCTGCAAATAGTAACTGGGCTTCCACCAGTTGCAACATGTGATATGTATAGCCCCTTAGTTGGGACGTCCCCGCAATCATGACTTTAGTTGACAAAACTCATGGGAGGCTATTCCGTGGACTCGTCACCTGAGTGGGAAACGTTCCTGTGCTTTCCCGACACCGGTTGATGACAGAGGGTCAGAATCTCAAGCGGACCTTCATTCTGTGTTTGCAATTGTTAATTAAATTTTAAAGGCCTTGGTATGTCTTATTTGCACATTGCTTTGCAAATGGTTTCCTTTTGTTGTTGCAGAGAATGTGTCCTTATTTCCTGGTGAGTACAAACCAAACTCTTTTGAAGGGATCTGAAGGTTAATGCATAAAGAAGGCATTGCTATACATACTCTGGGTTTGGGAAAGCCCTTTGCTTATTAATCCGGCCGGAGGGTCTCATTTGGTGAAGACTCCTTTGGTGGGTAAAGGCAAAAATCTCAAAGCTCATTGACGGAGAATAAAAATATTTCGCTACACTGGACAGTGATGGGGTGGATGTTAAGGAGAGAAAGCTTAGTGAGTCTAGGGGTAAACCCAGAAAATAAAATATCATTTTGGGAAAGATGGGGTTTACCCGTGAGAGGTAAAATATAGACTTTGATGACAAAGTGGCCTGCATTGCCCTGCAGATCACACGGCCAGAGGCTGGCTAGACTGGAGGGAAGGGACAGGCCAGGGACTTAACACAGTCAGGTTTGGGGTTTCCTTGGGATCAAGGAATGTGGAACTCAGTGAGCTTTGCGCTGGTTTTAGTGTTATTCTCAGAAGCTGAGACCTGACAGTTAGACATAGTGACTTCTGTGCTGTGTGTAGTTTCTACAATGAAACTTTTGTTTTCCCCTCAGCTCTTTTGAAATGATTGGACTGATTCAGCTGGACCTATGCGACCTGTTTCTCCATTTTTAGGTAAAAAAAAAAATAGGGAGCAGTGACTCTGGGGGCAAGGCTTGGTGATGGCCTCAGGAGTCCCAGTGACAAAACCACACAGAGAAGGAAAAGTTCATGCAAGAAGTCACGCGACCTTGTGCCTCTCCAGAGAGCTGCCCAACCTTGGGGGATTCTGGACTTGGGACAGTGAGAAACTCTTAGCAGTGTTGACATAAGAAACATCCAAACCTGTGGAGAATTTTTATGAGTTTATCTGAGTCAAACTGCCAGGAAGCAAGACGTCAATGGACTGAGAAAATGCTGTGGAGAACAGCAGTTTTGCAGCTTATTTTATACATTAGAATCAAAGGAAGAGGTGTAAAGAGATTACATGAAATCTTTCATTCCATGTAAGGGGAGGGAGAAAGCAAAGTAGAGGAATCTCTGGGACCAGATACAAAGTAAACCAGAGAGTCACATACTTCTTCTACATCAGTGGGTACAGGATAGTAAATAATAAGTATTCGCAGCACATAGCGTTGGCATGTAGGGAACAAGATAGCAATGAGGGGCTCTGTGGTTTTATGCTCTAAAGTGGAGGCTGTGCCTGCAGGGCCTGGAAAAGATTATTCTGATATTTCAAAGGTATATCTTAGATGCAAAAAGAGGCCTGAACTGGACTTTGCCCCAAGAGGTGAACAGCATGGAAAAGAGTGGGGCAAGGGGCTGAGCCCAAGGAAGGGAGAGGAAACAAGATTTGCTTCAGAGGTCCCCCTTTTCAGAAGCCCAGAACTCATGGGAGAATATGGGTGCTGAGTCCTAGTGACTACATTCTTCATGGACCCAAGAAAGACAATGGGGAGTGGTGCTGTTTGGTTCAAGGCTATGAACAGGGTGAATGATGATGCAGGAAATTGATGAAGACCAGGATGCAGGAGAAAGGGAGGAAGGAGGAAAGGGGGGAGGAGATGGACTCCAATTCTTGTGGTTGGGGACTGGGCATGGGGTAATAAAGATAAAGCACACTCAGTGATTTGGGCTTCAGCACACACAGAAGTACCCTGTGTAAGCTTTCCCACCACACATCCACACCACTTACCACTCCCTATCCCCACCTCCCGCCACCATGGAATAGAGAAGACTGTGGCTGAGAAATCAGGCAGACCTGAGATTAATCTGAACTCTGCTTCTTACTGGCTGTGTGACCTTGGACAAGTCAAAGGGCCTCTCTGAACCTCATTTTCCTCATGAGTTACCTGGGGATAATTATTGGAAGGCTGATGTAGGAACCAAGTGATCAGGCATGTGCAAAGTACTTGACACCTCGTAAACAACAAAGTCACACACACACACACACACACTCTCACAAAGGTCACTCACTAAATGGGAGGTCCCTATAAATAAACCACTCATCCTGTGTACCCTCCCTACCGCCTCCCAGCCTCTCTGTTGCACACTGGAGAGGTGAGAAGTTTCTCTCCTCTCTACATCCTCCTCTAGTTTCTCCAAGAAGGAGGCTGCCTTGCTGCTGCAGGGTGGAGAAAGACAAAAGGAGATGCCAGAGTAACCTGGAGTCCAGATGGCAAGTCAATCCAGCTCCTACCTCCCTTCCTCTGCTACTCTGACTCCCTTTGGAGTGCTGGTTCTGAAACAGATCTGCGTCCAAGGGGTAACTAATTTACAGGAACGAGATGAGGAGGGGCATCCTCCCACAGAAGCTCCTGATCTCTGAAATTAGTGGAACACGTTTTTCAAACCCAGCCTGAGGTGCGGAGAGTGACAGAGGGCTGCAGCCAAGAGAGCCGCTGGGTGGTGCAGAGCTGGATCAAGGAGCAGGCGTGGAGCCCTCTCTGCATCACAGTGTCATGTTCCCCTGGAGCAGCGGGGTGGACGGGGGGTGCATTGAGAGATTGATGGCACCTCCAGCCTGAAACAGCTGCCATGGCACAAAACTAGCAGGGATTTGGGGATAGACTGCCATATGGCAAGATAATTCAAAGAGAAGAGATGCATTCTGCTGGGGACCCCTATAGGCTTTTCTGACTCTACTGTGCCAACCCCCACCCCCAACCCGATAACTTTCTCCCTCTATTCATAGTCCCCACTAAAAGGCAGACAGGCACACAGGCCAAACAGTAGGGAGAGAAAAGGAAAAAGACATGAGGTTTGATCCCAGAAGACCTGAGTTCAGGTCCTGATATTCTAGCATTTAGTAGCCGAACAATTTCAAGCAAATTGTTAAGCATTCCAGAACCTCATTTTCCTCATCTGTAAAATGGGGACAAACAAGGCTACTATTCAAAATACTTAACAATTGGTAAGGTGTAATCATGACCTATGAGAATAGGACTTAGAATCAGAACAGGGTTCTGGAAGCCCACGTTGTACCAGGCCTTAACCCTTTAGCTGTTGGGTCATGGGGGAGCCTGGGAGTTCGGGGTAGGGGTGCTGGGAAAGCAGCCACAGCAGTGGAGGACTCAGCCAGTGACTATTTACCAACTAGTGTCAAGGCATCTTGAGATTCCAACAATCACTACAGCTATACTGAATAGTATTAGTTGCGAGCCAGACCTAAGGATAAAACCTACCTCACCGGCTGCTGTAGACTCGGTTATGTATTTCGAGCCCAAACTTGAAGTCTTTCCCCCTCTATCTCCTCCACATTGGTGGGTAACCTCTCACCACATCTCAGGGCTCTTTCCTGCTATTCCGAGCAGCGCTCCTCTGTGTAAGCTCTCCCAGCGGTCTTCCCCCCACCCTCTCCTGCTGGCCCTCTAGCTCCAAGCTTCTCTTGCCAGCACCACGGACAGCTCCTGCGGACGCGCCCATCCTAGGCCATCCACTTCTCCAGCCTTCTATCTCTTCTCTCCCCACCCCGGAACCCCGAGGTGTGGACTGAATGAGGGCCATCCCTGAGAAAACAGTGCAGTGCAGTGATTAAGAACAAGCTCCATAGTAAAGCAGCCTGGATTTGAATCCCAACCACACCAGCTTTTAGCTGTACGATCTTGTTCCTTCACTTTTACAAGACCCAGTCTCCTCAGCCCTGGCCGGGTAGCTCAGCTGGTTAGAGCATCTTCCCATACACAGGGTTGCAGATTCAATCCTTGCTCCGGGCACATACAAGACTCAACCAATGAATGCATAAATAAGCGGAACGACAGATCGATTTTCCTTTCTCTTTTTCCCCTTCCTCTCTCTCTAACAATCAAATAAAAAATTCCCTGTATTAAAAAAGCCTCCTCTTCTGTAAACAGGGGAAAGTTTAACAGCTCAAAAGTTGGGAGGTTTAAATGAGATAAAATAT